TGTGTGTGTGTGTGTGTGTGTGTGTGTGTGTGTGTGTGTGTGTGTGTATTTTCTGCAGGTTGACGGGCTTGAAAACAACCTACCCTTCACCAATTCAACCAATCACTCAAATGTCCAGGTTCATAAGAGACACAGAGAGGCTATCATTGAGACCACCTTTCTGAAGGTATAAACACCAAAGCATACACCGCCATTTATAAAGTATCTATAAAACTTTTTAGTCAACCTTTGTCTTAACTTTAATGTGATTAGGGCCATCAAAGCATATTGCGTTGACTGCACGTGTTACAAGTACCGTGAGTACCTCGGCTGCATGCGTAAAAACAGTAGGTCAACACTTCTAGTATTAAGAACAATTTAGTTGTGAAGACATTTTGGATTGTAGCCACGTTCTCTTATCATCCGAGTGAAACGGATGTTGGAGCGTCTTTAGCTTCTGTATTGTGACCTATGACCCAGTGAACACTGTATTTGAGTGGTGTTCAATCACAAGAGGGAATTACATCATATCCTTTGCATTTGATTGGACCGTTTCAAAGTGGGCGGGCTTAGAATGTACGGCGCTACAGAGGACTGTGGCTCCTCACACACCTCCTTGCTCGCTAAAAGTTGCAGGTTGATTGATAGACGGATGTCATGATATTATTGAAGAAATGGAAGAAAAGATTAATGGATTTTTATATAAAAATACACTAAGAAAATATTTTTTGCACATTTTTTTGCATACAGTACGGGGATGTGATCTTAATGGACTAAAAGGGCCAGATTTAATTTAATTTCGACTTTAAAGAGCAGATCACAAGGCCTCTAAAAGTAATGTCCTAACTTACCCTGTTACAAGACATTTTAATACGATAAGGAGATTATTTCCAAAGGTATGGATGATGAGGACTTATAAATGAATGTGTTTATATAATGTCATTAACATAAGTTCTTAAATATTTTCAAATCACTCATTTATGTGCTGAAAGGGAAAGTTTGTTGATTTTTAACCAGCTTTGTATGGTTAAGAATGTGTAATACATGCAAATGAACAGTGTCTAACTCCCCTCCAGATTAAAATTTGAAAAATGTTAGAGACCTCCTTAACGGCGATCATATAGTTCACTGCCGTTGGTCCACTGTCTGTTTCAGTGATGTGTAGTGGTACTCTTAATGCTACCTGCCAATATGTCTCAGCTTCAACTTTGATACAACTTTCCTTTTATCTTCACATTGTTAAAGGTCTCCTTTGACTTTTCGAGTTCAGTGAGGGTGGAGCTGGCGACTAGTTATCAAAGCGAAACCAACGGCCTTTGTGGAAACTTCAATGTTGACCCTGCTGATGACCTAATGTTGCCTGATGGGAAGTTGGCTTCCAACGCCAATGAGTTTGGACAGAGCCAGTGGTTGGCGAACGTGGAGGGCTGCTCGCGTGACTGTAAGCAGCTCATGCTGTGCTATTTATCTTCACTATTGTGCTCTGCATCTTTAGTGCCTCTTTTAGGGCCATTGTAGGTAAACAAAATAATTATTATAGAGTTGGGGGAGGGGGGAATATTTGGAGAAAAATGTCTCAATTACCGAGATTAAAGTCGTTAATGTATAAACACCTGGTGCTGAAATGAAAGAGAAACACCTTTGTTTACTCAAAGACAGAAGTTGTAGAGGAATATTGGTATTTATTTATGTTCACGAAAGAAAACGTGTATATTTATCTCTCAGGAACTTTCCTATTAACCATGGACTGTATATCAGAAGATATTAACACCTACTTTAGGAGCAATGAAATTCAGAGTTTTTTTTTCATAAATTTATAATATTTATAAGTTTTTCCTGTCAAATTGCCACTTTAATCTCAGAGAATGCCCACATTTCTTTTTTTATTAAGTTTTGTGTACACAGAATATATCCCCCTTTACCCCGTCATACTCACAGACATGCACCTCTTTATGAAAATATATGCCAATTTTACACATCAGTGTCATATCAAGTCACGATGGCAATCTTACTCGGGTGGACCTAGTTGGAGGGGCACTAATGAGAGGGGCACTAAGGGTGCACAAATGATCTGCACTGCCGTTCACACTATGAATGGATTCAGTTATGGTAAGGTTAAAAAAGCATTCTGCAAATAAACAAATCACAATTATTAACCATTTTAGCTATCATTAGTTATCATTTATGTAAGGATTAGCATGCTTCTCATAGCTGGTGCTCACCGACCCCATTCATTGCATACGGACTTCATCAATGGCAGATGATATCAGCTGTTTGAGTGACATGTAATGTGACCATGTCTCTATTGATGCCTTTGTGCTGCCAGGTAAAGACTGCGCTCAGCCGCTGCCCGACGACTTCGAACCACCCGCCTACACGTCGGTCTGTGATGTCATAACAGCAAAGGATGGACCCTTGGCTGACTGCGTAGACCGAGTAGATTCCAAGCAGTACCGCGACGACTGCGTCTATGACATGGTGCTTAATGATGGCCAAAAGGAAGCAGCCTGCGGCATCATCAGTGACTACGTGGCGCAGTGTCAGAGAAACGGAGGCTGCGTGAAGTCATGGCGGACGAGGAAGTTCTGCTGTAAGCGCTCAGTGACAGATGATGTGACTGTTCTTGTATTTGTGTGTTTGTGATCTGAGTGCTATTCTGTGTGTGTGTGTCACAGGGATGAAGTGTCCAGCTAAAATGATGTATAGTGTCGTGGCTCCTGGATGTCCGGCCAGCTGCCTCGCTCCATCTCCATCCGCCAATTGTGAGATCCCGCCCAGCGAGGGCTGCGTGTGTAACCCCGGTTTCCTGCTGAGTCAGGTAATCCTCCAAACTGCCCCGGCCTTCTTCAATTACAGCGACACATGACTTTCACCAAAGAAGGAAAGGCCAAGTTCTCTTCTGGCAAAAGAAGTTTAAAAACCTTAAATCAGATCGCTGTTTCATGGATGAAATGCTAAAAGTCACAGTAGCCCCGCCCTAAAACATCCCCTGCTTTATGGTCTATTTGACTCTAAATGAACCATAGTTTAAGAAATGAACATCATGCTGTATTGAAGAAGACTTGAAACTAGAGATTGAGACCATAAACTCATATTTACAATGTTTCAGTGAATTAAAAACAGAAGTGCATAAGTGGATAGTGACTCGACCCGGGGAACTGGGGAATAGTGACATTTAGGACATTTTCGGGCAAGATTAAGATATATCTTGGCTAATTTATCATGTACTATTTTGAACCGAATTACTCCGTGTGTACAATACAGAAAAAAGAGGTGCGAATACACAAAGTTGTATCTTCCAAAACTTCTCCCAGAATAGTTTCTCCAATATCCATTCCTCAGATAGCTTTAGTTTGATCCCATGTATACCAGATCCTTTTTTGAATTACATCATGTGTTTTGGATATTGCACCCTTACTATAAGGGTCAACACTCAACATAGAGAACTGAGTACGTTAAGTCTTTTGGGAGACGGTTGGGACAGCATGTAAAAGAAATGTACAGGTAAAGCTGTGGACTTAAAATAATGAGACTTTTGGCAAACTGTGGTCCTGGCACAGAGATGCGAAACTGTTTCAACAAAGATTCGGCGACTAAATTAGAGTTTAAAGTCTGGGTTTTGATATTCCACGGCGGTCAAAAAGGAAATTGGAGTTTAACTTCATATTTGCCAATACCTAGGCCTGGCAATGTAGGCTGCCCGATAGTTGCAGTCAGAAGGGCCTTGTAACACAGTGACAGTGTCCTGACTGAACTTTGACCTTCCAGGATCGCTGCGTGCCACTGCCTCGGTGTGGCTGCAAATACAACGGTCGGTACATCGTGTCTGGTGAGAATTTCTACCCTGACTCCGACTGCCAGCGCCTGTGTTTGTGCCGCGGTGGGATGGTGGCCTGTGAGGACAAACCCTGCACAGGAAAGAAAAGCTGTGGAGTGCGGAAGGGAGTGAAGGGTTGCTACGCCGCATCTGACTTAAGCATCTGACTTAAGCATTGAACGGGAACCAATGTAGAACTTCATCTTCTCTTCATCTAAGAATATATCCAGCAATGTTGTGTTTATACTGTAAGCTATCTTTATAATTCTAACAGCTATATTCAGGCACACAAGCTACAGATAATCTAGTTCTTTTGGCAAAATTCTTCTATCTATATTCTTCACAGGCCATTTCATATCTCGCTCACAATATAGCATGTTTTCTGCAGTAATTCAATAAACAGTCTAAATGAAATAACCGCCTGCTAAAGCCTATTTTTAAAGTGCAATCAAATACTCGGCCAGCACTTGTGCTTCAAATTCATACAGAGTATTTTTAAATTGTTGTTCCTAAAACAGTTTTGACAAAAACTGAACATTCATGTAGGAGTGTACAGTATGCAACAGTGATTTTTGTAACTGTGGATGATTACAGTATGTAATGTTTGTAAGTCACTACTAACACATTTCAGTCTTTACTAATCAATTCTTTTCTAATGATCATTAAACGCATGTCAGCAACTTCCCCGTCTGTTGTGTCTGTCATTGACCCACATGCATATTGACCATTACATTGCATCATTTCTACTCTATTCTAAAAATGATACACTGAGATACTGACCACTGAGCAGATCCACTGTTATGATGAAGACACTTGCAGTGCTGGACCTGAGTACGACAAGTTACACGCTACTTTATACTTGTGCTTTACTACATTTTAGAGGGAAATGTACTTGCCACTGCTATATTTGACATGATGCATTTTTAAAATCTAATAAAGGCCGTATACATTTATTCCACATTAAAGCGGACAAGTCATGAGAACTCAATTATTCCCATTAGGCTAGCAGAGAAATGTATTTTCTCATTATTTCATGGATTTCCTCATCTTTTGAGACAAGATTCCTGCTGTATTTTCAGTGTCAAACTATGTTTTGTAGTAGATACAATAATGTTAGTCTGTGCTGGAGATTGGAACACAATTCTAAACTACTCTCTAGATACGACAAGTACAAAAAGACATAAATCCCATCGGTCAAAAGACCTCAATATTTGAATTAAAGAGACGGGTATGTTCGACGTTTGGAGGAACCTCCACGCACTAGAAAAAGACTTTACTCACTACTCAGCTACTCATTAAGTGCGCTCCAGATTAGACTACTTCCTAATGAACACTACAGGCAGACACAGGGTGAAGGACTGCTCAATAGGATCAGCAGATGTATCTTATGCAGTCACTCATTTCTTTCTTAATCTCCTGTACAACAGTCTCATTATTTAAAATACTAATATTTAGTCTCCATAATGTACTCTTCGGTCTGTTATTCAAGTAAATAGTCACTGAACAGTTTAGTTTTCAACAGTAGCATGTCTCTCTCAAAGCCCTCCTCATTGATGTGGCCTCCTGTCTCCACAGCTTGTTGAGCACAGAGCGCCGCCTCATCTAGAGCGTCGTACTGCAGGTAAACAGTGGCCAAGCCTTGACACAGGTCCCTCTGGGTCTTCATGTCCTCCCCTTGCTCTGCTGTAATCAGGGCCTGCTGAAGGTAAGTCACAATCTGGGCAGGGAGCAGGGAGGTTCCTTCCTTCCAGCACGGGTTCAGGCAAACAGAGTTCCTGATAAACAACTCAATCCTCTGGAAAGAGTCGTGGAGGGAGTGGTCCTGTCTTGAGTCCAGGCTCACAGAGGCAGGCGCTAAGTAAGGCATGTATTTACGATGATAGAGCCAGCTCAAGAGCCAGTTGAGGTCCAAAGGAACAATGGGAAGCAGGAAGGGGCTTGAGACGAGGTACTTATATGCTGCTTCAGGTAGACAGCGGTGAGGTTTGTGTAGAATGACGAGGAGCAGCGTGTCAGAGAAACTGTCCACACGAACACTGAGAGCCTCCTCATAGTACACACGGGCCTGAGGAAATATATATAAATATACAGATGATAATGTTCTGTATATTGTGGGTCTCTTTAAGGAGAAATAAAGCATATTGATATATCCATAACACACATATCAATGCTAGAAAAGAAGCACAAACCTGGGAGAAATTTAGTTTTTAGCTTGCATCAACCCAAAGGTTTTTTTCGACACATTAAAAGAGAAGTAACAAGCAAATACGAATAAGAATCACATCATATGATGATGGTGCTAGGGAAACTATTGTAATTGTGCACACGGGTACATTGTTAATTTATTCACTTCTGACTAATCCCATGCCTCATCATGCAATGAAGCAACACAGACTGTTTACTTCCTCTTTTTGCATTTTTACCATCAAGTTTAGATGGTTTATAGAACTGAACATGTGAACCTACATTTCTTGACGTTTGCTTTTATTAGCTGCCAGAGACATAAAATAGAAAACAAGACAGAGCGCCTGCTATCTGTTACTTTGCTTCCGTGCTTGGCCCTGTAACAAATGAATGAGTGAATAAACTGGGACTCTGCAGACCTTGAAGTGTTGATGGTTGAGCAGGGTCAGTGAACTCGGAGTCCTCCCCCTCCCAGCTGTTCTCCTCCAAGAAGAGAGGTGGGTCTTCCTGAAACTCGTCCATCTCGCTGAATGTGTCTTCCAGAGTGAAGGACAGGTAAATTATGCTTAGTATTTAATAAGATTGAACCAAACGTCTCTTTAGTTTTTAATTGTTATTATTTATTGCTTCATGAACTACACATGCTCACTCTTCCATGATGTGAAAATAACAAGTAAATACATGTGTACAACTAGGTTGCAAATTAACCCTAAACACCAACTATCAGATTAAATAATCAGCATTAAATACATCTGTATCAATAACCTAGATAATTAACAAAGGCACAGAAAAATATGACAAAATATATGGTTTAAATACACTTATACTGCCATCTAGTGGTAGAAAGGGTGAACACTTACTTTTACAGTCTACGCTCAATCAAGTCAGGCACAAAAGAAAAAAGTCTAAAGAGGACAAAACTTCAGCCACACTTGTAGTTTACAGAACTTTATTGTGAGATCGACGCATCATCAAGACCGCCCTGCTGCTAACAAACGGTGGACAGTGGCAGCAGCTGTTCCATCTACAGGACGGTCGCTGTACCAGCTACTTCTTGCATATTAGTGAGCACAAAGGGAAATACAAAACAAATCTATGCCTTGACGCCTTTAACAATTTATTAAGGTCACTTCCTATATACAGAAATTCTCACAGATTGGCCTGAACCTAAAATAAGATTAGAGGTTACTGTACATGTGAATACTGTGGTGTTATACAGACAGATTGAGGCCTTTGCCAAGTCAAACAACATCTTGGCACTGTGGCAACTGTCATGTTCAATTTTAATACCAGTGTCAGAAATGCCTCCTACAGAGCCTAAAATGTTGGATCAGGTATTGGCGTGTACGCAACACTATGCACCGATCAGATGACCCGTTATCAGCTCATTCAAGCTACAGGGAAACAACAACACATGTCAATCGCTACAGATGTGTGCATCCTTATCAGTACTGCACAAGTGCAAACCAGTACTTCACACCTTTGGTTAAACACTCTGGTGCGCTCTATGTTTTCTCTGATGATGCTACATTGTGAACAACAAATCTGTGTGTTGAACTCGGCAGGAGGAGAGCTAATACACGTCAGCTGATCGGAGGTTGCATTGAGTAACATCATGATGCGTTCAAGCTCTATTCAGAAAAAATGAGATTTGGGCAAATGTAATAAGGTAAGTATGATGTGTTCAAATTTAGTCTGGTAAAATGTAGTTTTTGACTAGAAACTTGAATAAAGACAGTTGTTTGAAGGAGATGTTTTCACAACAATATCAAATATGTATTTGAGAGGGAATTATGAGCTGTTTAACTTTTTGGGATATTTACGCACTGGTATCTGAGCAGTACTCGTATCGGCTGACACGTAGGTTCAGGTATCAGAATCGGGAAGCAAAAAATGGTATCGGTGCTTCTCTATTTTTTTTAAATCAATTTCTTTGGGTAAACAGTGAATAGACAAGGTCTCAGTTAGTTAGCACTACTGAGTGACAGCTCAGCACAACTGTCCTTAACATCTGAACACCAGAGGGCACGTTTGTTTCAAACCTCAGAGGAAAGGAGCAGTGAAGTGCTGCTCATGTTGGCTGGAGATGGGAGCCGTGTCAAGTCAAATCAAGAGGGCACCAGAGGGGTAACAGTAGTCAGTGTTTACCCAGTATTCAAGGTGCCTGGTTGCTAGGTTACCCGGAGGACAGGTCCCCTGCGGGGTCGCTCTCGTCGGAGCCCCTTCTTGCGCCAACGTCCTGTAAGCCGACCAGCGACATGTCCGGCTGGACCTCCTCTTCGTCCGACTGCACCAGAGGCTCATCGCTCTCCTCACTGGCCGCTTCCTCGTCCTTCTCCCACTCCGCGTCCTGGTTGGACGCTTGGCTGGTTGTGGGAGGGGCTCGGGTTGATTGGCTACTCGAAGATTCAGAGGAGCAGGACTCGAGGTCTGGACCTGTTGGAGAAGACAACTCTTAATTCACTGAGTAACTAAACCTCGACTCTCCTCGATAATACTAGTGGTATTAATAAAACCCGAACAATATCCCCACAGCTGCATGAGTCGGGGTTACCTGAGGTCAGTGATGATCCTGTGCTGTGATGATCCTGTGCTCCACTAATGATGTCATCATCATTAGTGGAGTTGAGGAAGTCATCCAGAGCCTCCTGGTCCGATATGTTAGTTACTGTCACCTGATCCAGAACACGCACATCAGCTCCTGTTGGCTCTGCGCACAGAGACACACACACACACACACACACACACACACACACACACACACACACA